GCCGAGCAGGGAGCCCGATGCGGGACTCGATCCAGGGAGTCCAGGATCATGACCTGAGCCGAAGGCAGTCGCTTAACCAACTGAGCCACCCAGGCGCCCCAAATTTTATGTCCTTCTTTTTAAGAGGGTCCTCCAAATCATAGGCACTTCAGGCTGCATGGCACCTGGCTCCACCCTGGCCTCCAGGGCCTTGATGGTAAAGACCCAGAAAAGCCAGCAGAAGCCTGGGAGGCGAGTGGGGTGCTGTAAGGGACCTCCTGCAGCCTGGAGTCGCCACTGGGCCTGCTTCTGCTGTGGCGAGGGATGGCTTCCCAACAGCACCACATCCCACAGGCATCGGGCTCTGCTCTAAACACAGCAGTCTGCCGAGTCCTCTGAATGCCGGCTTAGCCGTCACCCACTCCCGGCAGTCTTCCCGGACGACCACAGCCCCCGACACCCCTCCACTCCTGAGTTTGCGCATTCCTGCTCCGCGGAGTACACGGCCGTGTGGTGGCCCACCGGTTTGTGTGTCTCCGTAACAGGACAGGGACCTTCCCAAAGGCAGGGGCACAGTCACACCCATTTCTGTCTACGGTGCCTCTGCACACAGCCATGCTCCGTGAGTCGACAGGAATGAAGCAGGGAATGAACAAAGGAACTCACAGATGCGGGGACAAACGAGTCCTGGCTGAGTCTGAGAGGCACAGACCAGAATCTCCATGGGCCTGGCAGGCTGCTCGCCCCACTCAGGCGGCTAGCGGGGCAGGCTGGCCTGCGCTCTGACACCTGCCTGTCCCTCAGCAGACCAGATGCCAATGTGTCTGGTTTACCAAGGGATGGACCTCAGGCAGTCCTCTGCCCACGGGATGCAGTTCTTTTTAAGTAAACCCCACGCCCAACGTGGGGCTCAAACTCACAATCCCTAGATCAAGAGTCACATGCTCTACTGACGGAGCGAAATGACAAAGATAAGACTCATATCAATGGGGCACTTTGGGACAGCAGAAGTGGGGCAAGAGGGTAGAGTAGGAAGCCGTCAAGAATAGGGACATGATGTTGGGTATGTCAAACGCAAACCTCTTCTATCCTGAGTCACCTATTAGCTTCAGAGAAGTAGTGTGAGGCTTGTAACCCTAACTGACAGAACCGATCGACTGGTAGAGAACTGTCCCCTGCTTTGAGGCACTGTCCCCCCCCACAGAGGTGTGCTCTTCCTCACTGATGCCTTAGCAAGCACGACTTGTACATTTTCGTATCTGGCTGGCTTCTACTGCATGGCACGTTTTCAAAATTTGGCTCAAGAAAAGTGGACTCATTTCCCACCTTTCCTTTTTGTTCTCTCGGAGCCAGGCCTCCTTTGACCCTGCAGACATGTTGGTGCTGGGACGCGGGGGTGCAGGGTCTACACTGAGGCTGAGAGGCTGAAAAGTGCAGGTGGGGGCCGCGTCCGCAGGGAGCCTCCCTTGGGATATTTTCAGTCAGGCGAGTGACCTGAGGCAGGGTCTGGGACGGAGAAAAGACTGCATGGTAGACAGGCTGCCCCTCCTGAGACATCACCCACCTTTTGTCCAAAGTAGAGCTTGGTGAAGGTGAAGGTCCTCAGGTGGACGCTCTTCTCCCGGATCTTGGGCTCGAGTTTCTCCCGGAACTTGTTTTCCATGATCATGCTCAGGTAGGGCCAGGTCTGACAGATGATCTGTGGCAACAAGAGGAGGCTCTTGGGGGTCAGGTCTGTTTCCCCCACCCAAGACCCAGGGCTGCCCGGGACAACCTGACCCAGGGGTGGGGGGCCCGTGGCCCTTACGATGCAGCACCCACAGGCCTGCCTGCCCAGCCATCGCCCCCCCCATCCGTCCATGTGTCCATCAAACATTGCATAACTACAGCAGTGGTTCTCACACGTGCCCAGGCAGTGGGACCCCAAGATTTGGTGCTGTTTTGCAGAGTACCATGAAATAGTCACTAAACTTAGTATTATGAAACTTCTGGTTCTGCGCTAAAACAGAAGCTATCAGAGTCGACACTGTGCTATAATCAAGGAGTAGCAGGTGCCAGAGGCTTAAGGAAATCACAGAAAACAAAGTTAGACTGTTTCCTGCGGATTTAACTTATTCTAGCAATCAGAAAAGGCCGCCTTTGGCTGATCTCTGCAGCAGAGTGACTCATGGCCCAGGTCTGGGAAGCAAGGGGCGGAGGGTGCGGG